TCCTGTGTTTCTGTCTGTCTCCTCTCCACTATCTATCTAAAAGTTTCTTATTCTTCTCTACTCCTCATAGGAACCCTTTAAAAGGTGGGAGCTGGTCTTCCACAGAATTTTAGAATAAGCTTCTCTCCATCTACGAAGAATTCTATTGGGATTTCTATTGGAGTAGGGTTAAGTCCAGATAAATCTGGAGCAAAACAGCAGCTCCAGGGTTGAGATTGTAGCTAGCACAGGAGTTGATCCTTCAGATTTGGTAACCATACATAAACACGGAGACATTTATGGGATCTTTTAAAGTACCAACCTAATGACTTCTGTAGCTATGAGAACTAATTCACAAAGGCTTTGTGAATACCAGGCGAGTGCCTTGTCGTCCCTGAGGGGCAGCTACAGCCCACCCCACACCTTCTGTTCTCACCTCTTCCCTCCCTATGCACCCCCTTTTCTGAGACAAGACTCAGATGTAGGCCAGGCTGGTTTTGAATTTGTTATACTCCTGCCTCAGCATCTTGATCTCAAAGGGCATTAACCACCATGTTTATTTATGAATTATACTCATTAGTGCTTTTAGAGGAATTGGGAGAATATATTAATTATTTTCTCATTGGTGTAACAAAACATCCTACCGAAACAATTGAAGGGAGGCAGGCTCTTTTTGGCTCACAACTTCAGAGGGTCTCAGTCCGTTATGATAAGGCATGTCACTAAGCAGTTCCATCCACAATGATACGAGTACGTAGCAGAGACTCATTCATACGGCAGCAGATAGGAAGTAATGGATGCAGGCAGAAACCAGAGACCAGTATAACAGTCAAAGGCCTGACCTAGTGATCTACTTCTGCCAGGCTCCACAGTCTTCAAACGACCACCGCAAGCTGGGAACTGAGCACTCTGAGTCCATGGGGAATATTCCAGATCCCAACCATTACGTTTGGCCTCTGTCCTCCAAAGACTCGTGGCTATCTGATAAATGTAAAAATGCATTCATTCCAATTGGAGTCCAAAGTCTAAAGAGTCACAACACTCTTCAAGTGTCCAAAGTCTCCGCTGAGATTCAAGGTAGCCACTTAGACATAACGCCAAAAAAGTAAGTTACAGATTTCCAATACACAATGGCACGGAGTAAATATTCCCATCACAAAAGGAATGGGGCACAACAAGAAGAGAGTAGACTAAAACAAAACCACAACACAGCGGGGGAATGTCGAAACCCACAGGTCCATACCTGGCATCCGAAACACACGGTGGCATCAGCAGGCTTCAGCAGTTCTGCCTCTTTTATCTGTAACACTTGCAGCAAATGTGGCCTCTTTGCAGCCAGCTCCTTTAGCGCCTGCAGCTTTCCTCAACATGTGCCCTGTGTTTCTAGGATTCCCAACATCTTGGTATCTCCACTCCAACTCACATTCCCCTAACAAGGACTCTGCAGGGAATCTGACCCTGTACACATTCGCTGACTTCACAGGCTGTTCTATGGAGGTGCACACCTCCACAGCCTCGTAACTCTTGTAACTCTCGTACTCTGGCCATCTACATCAGCATCCTATGCATGATACCACGGTCTACTGCCAGCTCTACATGTACCCAGTCTGTCCCTCTCGGACCATGACTGCAGCAGTGTTTAAGGGCTTTTGTTTTGTTTCGTTTTTTCAAGACAGGGTTTCTCTGCAGCTTTGGAGCTTGTCCTGGAACTCGCTCTGTAGACCAGGCTGGCCTCGAACTCAGAGAGACCCTCCTGTCTCTGCTTCCCGAGTGCTGGGATTAAAGGCACACACAACCACTGCCAGGTGCTCTCGGCTTTTTTAATTGAAGGTATTTCAAATGCATCTGCATTCTTACATTCTGGAGCCATCAATGGAAGAGTCCCCCCTTAAGGCACCTTTTCTGTTGTCTCTGTAATATAAAGTGCACAATTACAGTCGCCTTGTCTAAAACCTCCGGTGAGTTTAAAACCCTTTCTTCATCAAATGGCAGACTTCTTACCACCTTCTGTTTTGCTTTAAAGAAATTAAATGCCTCACTGCAAATCTGGATAAGAGCACCTGGTAACCATACCAGAGCCTGGGTTTTGGGAGTCGGGAGTGAGTTGTTTGAGACAATTTCATTACATAGCCCTGGCTGGCCAGGCACTCACAGGGACCGGCTTGCCTGTGCTTCCCAAGTGCTTAGATTGAAGGCGTGTGACATACTGCTATTCTTTAGTCAGCTCTTACAAGAGTAGGCTGTTGGATGGAGCTGCAGCAGTGGCTCAGCAGTGAGGAGCACTTGGTGCTCTTGCAGAGGTTCAGTTCCCAGCACCCACATGGCTGACAGCCATCTCAACTCTAGATCGATACCTCTTCTGACCTCCATGGGCTCCTGTATGCACATGGTGTACATATATTCAACTCAGCTACACACACACATAAAATAAGCGAGATCTCTTTACACACTTGGCTATTCCTATACATTTTCCTATACACTATTTCCTTAACGCCTTTCTGCCACATTGAGACACAGCTGGGAATTTGGGGTACAGGGGAGACATGATAACACCCTCATCAGAGGCCAAACAAATGGGCTTTCAGCCAGTCTTAGTTAAGGTTTTTATTACTGCAAAGAGACACTATGACCATGGCAACTCTGATAACGGAAAACATTTAATTGGGGCTGGATTTTAGTTCAGAGGTTCAGTCCATCATCATCATGGTGGGACATGGCAGCATGCAGGTTCACACGGTGCTGGAGAAGTGGCTGGAGATGTAGAACTCTTGTTCTACATCTGGAATCAGCAGGCAGCAAGAACAAGCCTGGCTTGATCTTCTGGGACTTCAAAGCTCATCCCCTAGGACACACTTCCTACAAGGCCACATCTCCAATACTACTACTCCCTATGAGTCTGTGGGGGCCATTTTTTATTCAAACCACCACAGTCACCAACACTGTGAACTGATAAAGTACACAGCCTCAGGCTTTATTACATCCAAGATGCCAATGAAGATGAATACACATTTTAGACTGCAATTAAAAAAATATTGTTCCTCAAAAAACCAAAAAAAAGTTTCATAATTTTTTATGTATATGGGTGTTTTGCCTGCATGTATATCTGTGCACCATATATGTATCTGGTACCTATTATAGAGGCCAGAAGAGGGCATTGAGTATCTTGGAACTGGGGGTCCAGATAATTGAGTCACCATGTACTACTGAGCCATCTCTCTAGCCTTGGGATACAATTTTTTCTTTTGTTTTGTTTTGTTTTTGGAGACAGGATTTCTGTGTAGTTCTAGTTGTTCTGGACTACAGACCAGGCCCAGTCTCAAATTCCCTCTGCCTCCTGAGTGCTGGGATTAAAGGCATGCACCACCACCGCCCGGCTAGACTACAATTCTTTTGTTTTGTTTTGTTTTGTTTTGTTTTTCGAGACAGGGTTTCTCTGTGTAGCTTTGCGCCTTTCCTGGAACTCACTTGGTAGCCCAGGCCGGTCTCGAACTCACAGAGATCCGCCTGGCTCTGCCTCCCGAGTGCTGGGATTAAAGGCGTGCGCCACCACCGCCCGGCGACTACAATTCTTAATGAACCAGTTCTTGATGATTATGGCTGTGATAGTCGAATTCTCGTAGAACTAAAAACCAGGCAGACAGGTGCATCTTCATCCAGGGTGGGTGCTACACAGTGAAATCATCATTAGGAACCCACTCTCGGGAACCATGGTTAACTGTAGGCAAGGCAAGCAGAAGAGACAGTAATCTGGCAGGAGCTGCAATAACTCAGTTAAGAGACACAAAGCCTAGTGTGGATGTACAGGGCGGATTTGGCAACAGTCAGTTGCCAAACTGACCGAAACCAAGTTAACAGACTTCATTGACAGGTATGCTTAACTCTTCAAAACACTTCATTGAAAAGTGAGATGCTCACGACTGTAAAACCCCTCAAAGCTCTTCTTAGTCTTCACTAAACAACTGGATCATCTTGAATTCCTTAAAGTTAAAAACGGTCTTCAGGAAAGGTAAAAAGCATCTATCCTGTGTGCAGTGACAGCACCCTTTCCCACAGTTTTATTACCTAAGGGATTGTAACAGACCTTTCAAAGTGCCAGGTTTCTGCTGTAATCTTTGTTTTTTTGGAGACAGGGTTTCTCTGTGTAATAGCTCTGGCTGTGCTAGAACTCGCTCTGTAGACCAGGCTGGCCTCGAACTCAGAGACCCCCTCCCCTGCCTCTGCCTCCTGAGTGCTGGGATTAAAGGTGTGCGCCACCACCTCAAGGCCTCCTTTGTAATTTTTATCTAACATCTTCTAGTACACGGTCCTGTCCTGCTCTTCAGGCACGGCTGGGGAGGGGACAATCAGCACGGCAGGCAGCGACACGCCATGAGCAGAGCCTCACTCTCAGGTAACCTGAGCTCCCAGGGACGGGACCTACTCCGGTATCCTCCCTTCCTAAGCCTATCTGATCCTTGCAGCATGAGCAATTACTTCCTTGATTTGGTAGACTCCAATTACAACCAAAATAACCTCAGCTGGTATTTTCAACAGGATTCTAAGTAGAGTGGATAGAGGGAAGAACTGTGTGTGTCAGAGGGGTGCTAAACAGTAAGTCTCGTGGTATTTGTCCAACAGTATGCATTCCACTGTATAAAGTATGTATTTAGAATCACATCTATACTTGGAAAATGTTGTTGTATGCTGTGTTCAAAAACTCCTAAACCTCACAACATTTATATTTTATACGAGTATATAATTGGATCACTGTTTATGAGCCAACGAGAAAGGTTCTTTTAAAAGAACTATTTGTGTGTTGCTCGCACACACGCATGATAATGTGAGTACGGCCATATATGTGCCATGACACACACATGGAGGTCAGAGGACAGCTTTCTGAAGCTGGTCCCTCTTCCTACATGGACTTGGGGGTCAAACTGCGCAGCAAGCACCTCTCCCCTCCACGCACTCACCGCCAGCGGGAAACTCTTGCATTTTAACAGCACAGAGGCTGAGAGCATCAAGTCTGAAAACACATTAGCAAGAGGTATTACCCACTTTATTTAAAACAGGAATAATTAGAAACAAACATCCAGCAGAAAATTGTTTAAAAAGACCACAGTACCACATTCTATGTTAAACCATGAAGTGGAACTTTGAATGAATTATTGTTAAAAACTTTGTGCAAGTATTTAATGACACGTAGAGATGTAACCTCTTTGTCACCCCGTCCCTGGCAGTTCTTCACCACCCTTCCTGTACTCCTCCCATCCTCACTTAACCTCTCCCTGCCTCCTTTGATCTTGTACAAAACTGTACTGGGAAATCTCGATTGGAAGAGACTTCTGCAACCTAGCACAGCGCGGCATTCACCACCAGCCAGCATGCACATGCTCCTCTCCATCCCAAGGCTGAGCTTCCCAGTGCAGAACCCCCTTCACTCGAGCACGAGATCTGGGGTCGGCACATGATCACAACCACACAGGAAGGTGTGTTTGCTGAGGAACCTTCGCGAACTATTCCGAATCCCAGGCTTCAGAAGTCCTGAACAGGAATAGCTTTGTCCTCTAGTCCAGCTGCACAAGAGAATAAACACATCAGCTTGTGAAAATTACCAACTTAATCACTGCCCAACTTACCCACCTCCCCCAAACAACCATCCATGCAGCAAAAGAAAATATAAAATCCAAAATGAGTTAGATATTCTTCTTGGGGAAAATGGAAGGAACACCCTGAATTTAATCCAAAATCTAAGGCTAGAACTGAACCAAAATCCAGAAAACATGGAAAAAGAAAAAACAGAATCACATAAAAAAAAAGCAATATTGAACTTCTAATCCCAGCCCTCAGGAGGGAGAGGCATGGGGATCTCTGAGTTCTAGACCAGTCTGGACAGCAAGCTCTAGGACAGCCAGGACTACAAAGAAAGACCCTGTCTCAACCATAAAAAAAAAAAAATAATAATTAAAAAAACCCTATATTACAAACAATAGAATTAAATAGAGATGTAAGAACTCATTAATGATTACATCAAAAATTTCACAATGTGGAGGCTGGAGGATTGGCTCAGTGGTGAACACTTGTTCTTGACAGAGGACCCAGGTTTGATTCCCACCACCCACAAGGCAGCTCACAACCACATGTAACTCCAGTTCCAGAGGATCCAACATCCTCTTCTGACCTCTGTGGGCACCAGGCATGAGTGTGGTACACAGACACACATTCAAACAAAACACTCACACCCATTAAAAACAACAGCAAATAGCTCACAAATATGAAGACAATACTGTTCAGTTGTTACTATTACCCAAAGCAATCCTCATGTTCAACACAATCAAGTTACAATTGGATATTTTTTAAAAAGGGGGGTGGGGAGGAAGAAAGAAATTTCTTTTTTGGTTTTTTGAGACAGGGTTTCCTCTTTGTAGCCCCCGCTGTCCTGGAACTCACTCTGTAGACCAGGCTGGCCTCGAACTCAGAGATCTGCCTGTCTCTGCCTCTCTAGTGCTGAGATTAAAGGCGTGAGTCATCACCACCCAGTGAAAGAGTTTCTTAAAAATTCATATATAGAATCTAAATCTAAAAGACCCTGAATAACCAAAACATCAAAAAGGAATAACACATGGCAAGACCCTACCTCAAAAAGAGCTGGGCTTTGTGGTGCACGTCTTTAATCCCAGCACGCTGGAGGCATAAGCAGGTGGATCTCTGTAAGTTCGAGGCCAGCCTGGTCTACAGAGCTACTTCCAGGACAAAAAAGGCTGTTACACAGAGAAACCCTGCCTTGGAAAACCAAAACCAAAACAAAAGCCTACAAAATGGAAACAACCTGACACTCTTCACAAAGGACGATGAGGACCAAACATATAAAAGCGATGCAGAAGGACAAACAGAAACCTTGGGCCAGTAGGCCAAAGATACTGTAGGCCAAGGAAATATGCTATGGGACACCATTTTTACATCCACTAAATTAGGAGAAAATTAAAATACAAAATATTAATAAGTGTGGAAGAGAAATTCTACAGCTTATAGGAGTGTAAACTATTATAAAAAACTTTAGAAAATTGTGTTACTTTAAACCAATCCATTAATTCTACTCTTTGGTGTATAGACCCTGAGTAACTGCTGCAAATTTATAGCAAGAGATATTCATAGTTATATTAACAATGTGTATTCAAAAAACTGAAAATAGTCTAAATCCCTGTCAATGATACCTAATCATTACACAGACATAGAACAAAATGTTATATAGGGCCACGTGTAATAGCCCACATCTTTAACCCTGGCACTCAGAAGGCAGAGAGGCAGGTGGATCTCTGTGAGTTTGAGGCCAGCAAGTTCTAGGACAGCCAGGGCTAAATGGAGAGACCCTATCTCAAAAATCAGACACAGACAGACAGAACTCAAGAGGAGAATTTAAGGCTGTTATCCCAATTTCAAGAGCTGATTCAAAGAATAAGAAAGAAAATTAGCAGAGTCACTTTTACCTTTTTAATCTATTTACATGACTTCTTTTCAGTATCCAAAACCTAATACAAAAGAGAAAATATGATTTTTTATTCACTAATACCTACTAGGTACACTGTCCAATCTTATACTTCTCAAATGGTTCTAATAACATTCAACCTAAGAGCATGTGGTACTATAGAAAGAAATAAAAAATTAATTGCACAAAAATAAGTGTTTGGTATGATTTCTAGTTCCACAGAAACCTTCCCGATTTTAGACATAGATGTGTCTACCAATAAGCACTTCTGACTTTCTCATATCTGCCTATGCCCAAGGAGCTTTTGCCACAGGTGGTTTTAGGAGGATTTTTAAATTTTCAAATTTATTTAAATTTAATTTTGGAGAGACTATCCTCAACTAATCTATGGGAAAAGAATGTCAATGACTAACTTCACAATAACCTTTCCTCATAGACTAAGAATATCTGAAGACAAACTACCTGACCAGTTTTTGATGTAACTAAAATGTTTGTCAGCAATGACTCTCAATTTTCTTCTGAGTTTCTAACAAGAGGACTATACTATGCCTATTTCCTTTGCTTGTATTGATCTAAAACAGCTATTAGAAGTTGCTAACAGGCCGGGCGGTGATGGCGCACACCTTTAATCCCAGCACTTGGAAGGCAGAAGCAGGTGGATCTCTGTGAGTTCAAGGCCAGCCTGGTCTACAAAGTGAGTTCCAGGACAGGCTCCAAAGCTACACAGAGAAACTCAGTCTCGAAAAACAAAACAAAAAAGTTGCTAACTAGGACAAAGAGACAGCTCAGTGAGTAAAAGCAGTTGCTACCAAGCTCAACCACACGAGTTGGAGCCTAGGGACCCACATGATGAAGAGAGTTTTTTCCGACTGCCACAGTCTGCACACACACACAGTAAGTACATAAAAATTGTAAATTGCTAATTATATTGAGTTTAAGAACATTTTAATTCATACTATCAATGAATATTAATCTTCGTTTCAGTGACAATGATAAGATAAAAATAATTTTCCAAACTTAAGCAAACTTAGATTATCATATACTAACCCATGAAGCTCTCTCTCTTTTCAAATGTCATCCTTAGTTCAAACACATTCTTTTTAAAAAGAAAAACAAGATTATCACCATACTTACTCTAGCCAACAGTTCTTGTGTTTCCGCGGTCAGCGGGGCATGAGAAAAATTACAGTGATCGCCCTGGTAACATTTTGTTCCTGTGTGATAAAACTTGCAAGGATATTCATGTAGCACAGTGTTAAGGAAAAGAATCATTTGAATCCAACTGAAAAAATTCACTATTAATTTAATAACTATTTTCCCTCTAAAATCTTTCCTATCAATAAAATCACTGAGTTTTCTATTTAAAATATGAAAATAAAAGGCTTCATTTTAGGAAGACAACTTTTTCTCCCTCATATACATTCTCATAATGAGCCACAGGTAAGTTTCATTCACAGATGAAAGAAATGTGTTTAATTACCTTGAGAGACAGGTAATGTTCTTTGAGGGTGGGGTAAGTTAAAGGCAATGACAACAGTCAGTATGTTCTACAACTCTGGATCTTTTATGTAGTAGGTTTATTAAAGTAGAATCAATTTATATTAACATTATTATCATCTAGAAAGTTCCGTCAGAATCTGACTCTTCTATGGTGTATGCCTATAAAGAAACAACTTCTGTGTGACCAATGGTGCTATTACCCTAAGTGCTTTTTTATGTTTGTTTGTTTGTTTTAACAAGTCTGAATCTGTGCCATTAGAGCTAAGGCTACCTTTCAAGTTAAGGGAACCTTCATAAATATCTCTTTCTCTATATGAATACAGACTCAATTAAACACGATCACAAGAGAAACTGACATCTGAGATGTCATCCAGGAGACATCCAGGAGATGTCAGTTTCTATAGAGTGAGATCCAGGACAGGTACCAAAACCAAAACTACATGGAGAAACCCTGCCTCGGGGAAAAAAAAATTGTCTCTACTAAAAGAGCTTTCAGAGTTGGACTTTAGGATATCAGTTTATAAAATGAGTGCTCATCAGTTTCAAAAGCAAAAGACCTAGTTCATGACTAGGTCTCATGAACCTTCCACCACCCAAGCTGAGCAGAAGGGACCTACATTTAGGAGATTTTCTGAAGGGTCCCTTTCTGTCTTATATAAAAGTGTATACAATGAAATCACTTTGATATCAACTTGGGCTTAGAACACTTGGTTATAGCAACAGCTGTGGTTTACTAAAAAGTCTCCATCTTTAAATGTTCGTGTTACACGGAGAGGGAGGGAACCTTGCGGGAAAGGATATTATGTAAATACAGGCAGTTCTCGCCTTTGTTGCAATACCCTTGTACATAGTACTTACACATCTCCTTTTTCTTCTCTATCTCTGCATCATGATCAAACTTACACTGGTCTCCCTGGGTGTAAGAATGAGCACAAGTTATGTCTCATGGTTAGACCTCTGCAACGTAACTCTTACTGAACTTCAAGTGAGCAAGCTGAGCCCAGAAAGAATCCTAACGGGCTAGTGTCCAAGCGCATGACTTAGCTCACTGAACTTTTAAAAGTTCTGAAACATTTTTAATGAAAGCATGTTTAATAAATTACCTTTAAAAACATAAAGTGACACATCACTAATTTTCTAATTACATGCTTTTGAAGAACACAGAGTTTTTACAACTTCACAGGTGTTTTTAAGACTCAAACAGACAGCAGTTCCCACAGACTTCTGCCATAGACACACTGTAGTGTATTTCCACTCACACACTCTCATACCTTAATACATTTCCTTTCAAGAAAGTATTTGCAAACTTGCTTCCCCTTACGTTCCACTGTGTGCTGATTGATAAAGCCTTGACTCATCCTCACACGTGGCTGCTTATTTTCAGGTTCATCAGCCTTTAATATAAAAATAAATAAATAAATAAACGACTAGGAGAAAAATAAAATTAAGTATTTCATTCTGTTTTACAAAATTGTTTTAAACTACTTTTAAGACATTAGAATGTGTCTCTTCTAGCTGGGCATGGTGACACAATGTGTCATCTCAGCATTCCAAGGCTGAAGCAGGGTTACAAGTTCAAGGCCAGCCTGGGTTATACAGCCATATCCTGGCTCAAAAAATTGTCTCTACTAGTCGGGCAGTGGTAGCGCATGCCTTTAATCCCAGCACTCGGGAGGCAGAGCCATTCAACCACTGAGTAGCAGTATTTGTGAAAATTAAATATCTTATTGTACTTTGTCCTTATTTTATAAAAATGAGTGGGAAAAAAACTAAAAAAGCTAAGTATATTATTTGTAATAAAAAGAAGTCTAAAACAGAAAGCTTTAGGATTATGGAAATAAAGCTGTGACTCATGATTAGCAAGAAGCAGTGAAAAATCTCCAGCTCCAATGATAGTTTTACAGCTTAATATTTAAAAAAGAAACGAGAACCTTAAAATCTATTTTAGCTCTTTAGAAACAAAAACTATTTTTAATGTGTTAACTTGTGACAGAGCTTATTGCTTCTGTAAGCCTAAGTAGTATATACAGTTTTAGGAACATGATGTGTGTAAGTATGGAGCTAACCCGTGTCCTAAGTGACCTGCTTTGCAAAAATATCGCTATTGATTTATTAAGATCATAAAAATCATATCTGTATCGCAGTTCAAATCTTTGGTTTTAGATAATTGTGCTATGAGAGTCTAACATGTTTAGAATTTGCTCATTCATGTAGAAGGGCTGTCCGCTCTGGGTGAAGAATCACCCGAGTCAATGTCAAGACACAGAAGACATTGTGTTCAGCCCTGGACTGGCCCTGATCTGAACTGTGAGTTCAGATTCCATTTGCAAAATATGGAAAAAGATTCAGCTTTTACATAAGTTTACTTCAATCTTTAATATTTGGTATCCCCCTCCCTTTTTTTGATATGGGATTTCACTGTTTGTTACCCAGGACAGTCTTGAACTCCTGCTAGCACTCCTAAGCAGTTGGGCCAACAAGGCATCTACAACCATGCTTAGCTAATAAATACATGGTATTTCTAATATTTTAACTCCCCAAACTCTTGACCCTGTGACTAAGCTGAATAAAAAGCTTGCTGCTCAGTTTAAACATCTTCAGAAGAGCAGGGTCTGGAGAAGTCATCTATTATCCTATGCTGAGTACATATGCATATATCAAGGAAGAACATTTACAAAGCAAAATCAAAGTGCCAGGAGCAGGACTGGAAGATGCTCAGAAATAGCTGTTTTTAATTTCCAGAAGGATTCAATCCGAAGGCTGAGGGACTGCAGTATGTCAACCGTGCAGGACTCCATGGCCTTTCAATTGTCTCCAAGGCTATTTCCTTCTGCCTCCCCGTTTTCTACAGTTAGTGATGGTTCAACACTCAGAGACCAAAGGGCTGGAGCACCTGTATTCTGGACCAACAGGGAAATCACTGAGGCTAAAGCGGGTGCTGGCAGCCATTGCTGAGGGAAGGGAGCAGTGGTTAAGAAGAAGACGACAGAGCCAACAGCAGACAGAGGTCTCCATATAACCTGATTTGTGGAATGCTCTGCCTCCCCACATCACTGAATACCTCTTGAAACTGAAGTGAAAAATAAAAAGTGAAAAACCCAGAAGCATGTAGACATCCTCCTCCACACACAACTCTCGTACCTTTTCTTGGGGGCCACTGTTCTTCAACAAGACACTTGACCCTTTGTTTCCAGTGCCAGGCCACTTTCGCTTCATTTTCTTCTGTTTAACTTTCTTGTGACCAGCTTTAGATTTTTTATTTTTTTGTTTGGCAGCTAAAAATAAGGAAGTGCATTTTTTAAAATAGCATAAAGGTAAGACATCAGTTTAACCTTCAGAAATATATTTTGCAATAATTCAGAGAAACTCTACACCTCAGTAGAAGTTTGTAGGAAGGAAAATAGGTAGGATAGTGACCTGACTTTCTAGAAGCTTTACTATTACAAAGCCAACATCCTAAGAGAATTCTAACGTCCTAACTTCAAATACATTATTTCCAAAAAGAAGTGCTGGATGGGAGGGGGAAGCAAGATAATTAATTCAATCTTGCACACCATAGGCAGAACATTTTGAAGACATCAGCAATTGACTGATCTAATCAGAACTGCTCCAGCATCTGTAGAAAAAAACTAGAGGTCTAGAATGATCTCATATATTACAGATTTTCCCTTGAAAATGTCATAAAGCTGAGGATGGCGGTACATACTTGTGTGCTGGCTAGTTTTCTGTCAACTTTTCACAAGCTAGAATTATCTGGGAAGAAACACCTCTAATGATGACTCCATCCGATGGCCTGCAGACAAGTCTATAGGACATGTTCTTGATTAATAACTGATGTGGGAGGGCCCAGCTCACTGTGGGTGGTGCCACCCTGGACAGGTGGACCTGGATGGTATAAGAAAGTGGGCTGAGCAAGCCATGGGGAATAAGGCAGTAAACAGCACTCCTCCACAGCCTCTGCTTCATTTCCTGCCTCTAGGTCCCTGCTGTGGCTTCTTTCAGTAACGAACTGTTTGTTACCTGAAGTATAACATGAAATAAACCCTTTCCTCCTCAAGGTGCTGTCAGTGTTTTATCATAGTGATATACAGCAAACGAGGACAACTGTAAGCCCAGCACTGAGGTCACTGGGATTGGAGGATCAGGAGTTCAAGGCTATCTGCAGCTACATAGCAAGTTTTGTTGGACCCCAAAGTTTAGGGTCTCAAGTGGGCGCCCCAAGAACCCAGACTCCAGTCCAGTTGATGCAACAGTATGAGGAATTTATTAAGCTTCTATATAGAAGGGCTCCTCTGCTCCCAAGAGCAAGAGTCGCATCTTACTGCAGCCCCATAAGGGCTTTTAAAGGAATAACCCACAAAACCCACAAGATTACAATTCCCATACAATTTTGTTTCACAAGATCATGGTCTGATCACAGAGTGATCACAGAGGGAGTACAGTTACATCAGTGTGCACATTCTTCCTGAAACCTCAAGGGGGGTATCAGGGCGGGAGTGGAGTTTACGTACAGGTCATGGTGGTCCTTCCTGGAACACCTGCAACTATCCCAGTCACAGTTGAGCACATCTCTTAACAGAAATCTTTTTACAATGTTATATTGTTACAGGGGTGATTGAGTAGTGGCTGAGTCGGGTGGCCCTTGGAACTAGATTTTTAGTTTCTCATTTCCTAGTGCTTGAAGTTTCTCTCTTCCTGAGGCTTGGGGGTGTAAGCCTGAAGGGCTAGGGTCTTTCAGTTTCAGACTACTTGGGCTACATGAGATTCCATCTCAAAACTTTTTACACACACACACACGTACACGCATGCACACGCGCACACACACATACACACATGCACACATACACACACGCACACACACATACATACACACACAGACACACACACACAGACACACACACACACACACACAGACACACACACACAGGCACGTATGCGCGCGCGCGCGTACAACACACACACACACACACAGGCGCCAAAAAAGAAAACATTCCATATACACAAAATTTACCCACAGATGTGTCTTGAATAGAAGGAACACTTGGAAGAAAACAGAGAAAATGGAAAGCATTAAGAATTTCAATTATGCTGGGCAGTGGTGGCACACGCCTTTGATCCCAGTACTTGGGAGGCAGAGGCAGGAAGATCTCTGAGTTTGAACCTAGCCTGATCTTACAGAGCAAGTTCAAGGACAGCCAATAGCCAGGGCTACACAGAGAAACCCTGTCTCAAAAAAAGAAAAAAAAATTCATTTACAAATTGTCATTTGCCCTCATATCTATGGCCAAATCCCATTTTAGTCATTTAAAATAATACATTTCAATTTTAAAAATAAAAATGAAAAACTTTAAAAAGAAAACACATGTCTATGCTGGGGATATGGTTCTGTAGTAGAATGTCCCCATAATAGGCATGAGTCCTGGTGATCAATCCCCAGCACTTAAAAATACATGGACACAGACATACACAATCATCCAGTCAGTCAGTTCTTTAAACAAGGGTCAGACAAGCAGGTATAGCCTAACCTTCATACATGCAGAAGCCAGGATTCCGACTTCTCCTGATATAGACAGAGCCTTTGATAACCCCATGCCAGTGTCATCTACAAACTGAGAGCTTACATATCAAGCAACCAAGTCTCAGGTTACGTCTTACATCTAACAAGCTCATATCTGGCTAAAGAGCAATAAAAGTTACCTTCTCTTCACGAGATAAAGGTCAAGTGAAAAGACACTTGTCCAAACACAGACAACCATGACAACTTCTGCACAGGAACTCTAAGTGATAAAAAAAAGTTCAGCGCTTACTCTGCTGGGTGCCTGCTGCTCCCTCTTTTTCCACAGACTCTTCAGGAAGTAGTGAGGGTTGAGCAGCGTTTGCCATTTCTTTGGCTTGTATGTACTGTTGAAGCTCTTTGTCAAAATTATCTTCTGATTCCTGACTGTAGGTCTCATCATCACTGTATGGGTCATAGTCTTTACTTCTTGATTTTCTACGCAGCAAACTCTTTGGTGACGTTGTAAGGTTTCTGAGGTGCTTAAACTAAGTAAAGACGAAAAGATGATGCATTTACCTAATTATTCTTTATCAATAAAAACTCTGGAGTCAGACATGGGGTAAGAACCTGAATAATCAGAGAAGTAGCAGCAAAGCTATCAGTGACCTCTTGTCTCTTACTCCTCTATCCAAAAGGGCCAAGACCCCCTCTAAAGTCTGCCCTACTGCTTCCTGTGTCTATCTGTCCTCAGTCCTCCAAAACCTCTATGGTTAATTTGCTCAGCTAGTGGTAGCTCTGCCCTCTGATTCAAACAAACTTTACTGTTAGTCTAGGGAGCACCAGACTGCAATCAAAATATCACACAACAAAAACTGAAATTTTCAGAACTTAAGATTCAAAGTAAGCTATATATATAATATATATTGCAATACTGGCCACTAATTAACTATTGTTATATTTCTATGATGGGTACATAGGTTTCGTATAGCATTCTCTACACTCTTTTAAACACCTGAAATTTTTGTGGAGTTAAAAATGGGCTGTAGAAGGCCGGGCGGTGGTGGCGCACGCCTTTAATCCCAGCACTCGGGAGGCAGAGCCAGGCGGATCTCTGTGAGTTCGAGGCCAGCCTGGTCTCCAAAGCGAGTACCAGGAAAGGCGCAAAGCTACACAGAGAAACCCTGTCTCGAAAAACCAAAAAAAAAAAAAAAAAAAAAAAAGGGCTGTAGAAATGGCTCATTGGTTAGGAGCACATAGCACTCTTCCAGAGGACCCAAGTTGGTTCCCAGCACCATGTCCAGCTCTTACACCTGTAACTCCAGCTTCCAGCCTTGAAGGGCACCAGCATCAGGTGCATGCACAGTGAGCCAAACCACCACCACAAGGAGGACTAGGGAGATGCCTAGGTCAGTAAAGTTCCTGCTATGCAGGCATGAGAACGCAAGTTCAGACCCCTAGCACCCATGTAAAAGCTGGTCTGGTGGCCTCATATGTAACTCTAGAAGGCAGCTCTAGGTGAATGGAGACAGATCCCTGGAGTTTACTGGACAGTCAACCCAACTGCATCAATGAACTCAAGGTTCAGAAAGAGACCCATCTCAAGAAGAGAGAACAACTGAAGAAGACATCCAACATCAGCCTCTGGCCTCTACATGTATTCACATATGTGTGTGTGTCACACACACACACATACACACACACAAAATGCTTAGAAAAATTCTAGACAAAGACTGTACAATATTCTAAAGATTCCAATTCCCCTCTAAATAACCAATGAAAATTCTACCAAGACTTTCTGTGGTACCTAACAAACTGATTCTAATTTTATATAGGTAGGCCTATGTCTAAGAATAGCCAAGACAAGCCAGGTGTGGTTTGGTGTACACCTTCAGTCCCAGAATTTGAGTAGAGGCAGGCAGATTAGATCTCTGAATCTGAGGCCAGCCTGGTCTACAGAGGGAGTTCAAGGACAGCCAGGACTATACAGAGAAACCCTGTCTTGAAAAACAAACAAACAAATAACAAAAAAGATAGTCAAGACACTTCAAAAAGGAAAAAAAATACAAAAGTGCCAGGACTTGCTTATATAACAGCAAATCATTTTAAAACTGTACTAATTAACTCTAAGTACTGGGGAAGGAACAGATAATTCAGAGGACAAGTACAGACACTTGAAAAGATTTTAACAAAAGTGACAATGTAAAACCACAGGGACAAGAAAGCCCTTACTGATAAATGAATGGTCCTGGGACAATTAGGTAATGATAATAACAAAATAAAGAAATGGGCTGCCTGTACCCCATAGTGATTATAAATTTCAATGTGAAAAGTAAAGCTTTAGAAGGTAATGTAAGAAAATATGTTCAGCCGGGCGGTGGTGGTGCACGCCTTTAATCCCAGCACTCAGGAGGCAGAGCCAGGCGGATCTCTGTGAGTTCGAGGCCAGCCTGGTCTATAGAGTGAGTTCCAGGACAGGCACCAAAACTACACAGAGAAACTCTGTCTTGAAAAAACCAAAACAAACAAACAACCAAACCAAACAAACAAACAAAAGAAGAAAATATGTTCATCAGTGCACAAAGGACTTAATATACAAGAACATATGCTTAAAATCAACTACCTTAAAATTGTGACATTTATAAAAACTATCACTAGATGGATAGAAAACTAAAGTGAGCAGGTATCTGCAACATTAACACACAAGAATGATGACCAAAAACTACTCCTAAATAACTAAGTCAAGAAAACAACAATAACAACAACAACAACAACAAATAGGTAATCTCAACGACAGTAAGGAGGACAGAAAGACTAGAACAAGTATGAGTAAACAAAAAATTCCTGCAGGGCAAGAGTCAATAATGCTCCGGAAATGCAGCTGCAAACAGAACAAGACTGAGCCAGAGTCTCTCTCACCCATGGTGCCGGAATAAAAACTGGTACAACCCCTTTCTAACACAGTGAAGTATCGATACAAGGGCAATGCCGCTCATGTGAGGATCCAGAAGCATCTCTCCCAGGACAATGCAGAGCGCACGTGCGTGACACAAAGTGAAAGAATGGCATGGCACGGCTAATGAAAGCAAGCCCAGTGCCTACCTACAATAGGGTGTCCTAGGTTCAAACGCTGGACTACTGTGCTGCAATAAAGATGAATGAGCACACACTAGATTTATGAATTTTAAACTGTATCCTTAGGGCTGACCACATAAGCAGTGAAGAACAAGGAAGCGCTCAGTATACAAGTTAGAACTGCTATCTCAGGGGATAACATGGAGGAAGGAGGCAGCATTACTTTTTCTGGACCTGCAGTGCTTACCTGGGTACACTACTAAGTTAGCCCTAGCCCTACATATATTTGTATTAGTGACTGAAAAGCCTGGGCTGAAAGAACTCTGCTTGGGGATAACCTGGGTGTCCATCTTTTCCTGTAACTTTCTTAAAAATTAGTTAAGATACAATATGCTATCTGCCTATCTACTAGAGAGGCAATACACAGACTGTCGGCATGGAGTGAGGCCTGTGTGACTACCCCTGTGGGAATAATAAAACTGCAGTTTCTGGATATCAGCCTCAGTCCTTTTTTTTTTTTTTAATTTATTTATTTTTATTTCATGTGCATTGGTGTTTTGCCACCGGTCTCAGGTCCCTTGGAACTGGAACTACAGACAGTTGTGAGCTGTCATGTGGGTGCTGGGAATTGAACCCGGGTCCTCTGGAAGAGCGTCCCTGCTCTTAACCACTGAGCCATCTCTCCAGCCCCCAGCCTCGGTTCTTATCCATGGCAGCTACACATGTAAGGACAGTATTTATGTGGTAGCTCAGAGCCTTCCCCAGGAGAAGAAGGTGCTATGCCACCTGTATCATCTCTCCTGGATTTTTATAAAGCCCATCTGTGCCTTACATTGCCAATATGAATATATTCTTATGTAATATGTTAACATTTACTTCCTTCCTCAAAACAAAAGAAAAAATAAAAAAGAAAGCAGATACTGACTTTGTGATGGACTGAACCTGAGTCTCCCCTGACTCTAAATTCTTTATGTATAAGTCTTGATTTTCAGTACTTCAGAATGGGGCCTATTTGGAAATCAGGCCATGGCAGAGGAGGTCAGGATGCTTCCTAGAGTCATGGAAAACCAAAAAGTATCAGAGGGTTCTGGACCAGATCTTTCCTCACACACCCTGGAAGGAAGGAACAACCCTGCCGACACCCTGTTCTCAGACTCCATTCCAGTCCAAGAACTACAGGATAATGCATTTGTGTTGTTCAAGCTGCCACCTTTGTATCTGTTACACACTAATCTGGGTTTTAAGTTAGTAATTACTAAGGCTGGTTAAGTAGTGAGTCAGACCTGTAGATTTTCCATCCAATTTGATATCAAAGAAGCTTTTCAAAAACAGTTTACAATCCATCTCAGAAATGGGAAATCCATCTTGTTACAACACAGGCACATTCTCCATCTGATGGTGGAAGGGGTTCATGCCAAAAGGCAAGAAAGTCACTGATGATACTGAGCTTCCTTGACCTAAGTAACTGGGCCCCAAATGCTGAATACAACGAGACCAACAGGACCCCTCATGTTCTCACATCCCTCCAGAGCTGTCTGCCCAACATGCCGGCTGAACCTTACTTTCTTGGGAACTTGTTCACAATCCGGCCTTGCCTTCCATTTTACTTTCTCTGTCTGTGTTTCTTCAACTCCAGCACCCTCGACCTCACCATCAACTCTGTAGCAAAAAGAGCAAAGAACACAAAAGAGTTTACTGCACAGCATTAAAACTCATTGCTTGGGTCTTAAGATAAATTCCAAATTCAACGTCTACTGCAAATACTCCATAATAACATTAATAAAAACAATAATGCAGGCCAGGTATGGTGGTGCAATCCTTTAATCCCAGCACTCAGGAGGCAGAGGTGGGTGGGTGGATCTCTGAGTTCGAGGCCGATACGGTCTATACAGCAAGTTCTAGGCCAGCCAGGGCTATACAGTGAGACTCTGTCTCAAAATAACAACGATGATGACTACCAGTAAATGTTAATATGTATATAAACAACCGTAGAACTGAAACTTTGTATTAATCTTTTTTAAAAATAATCATTTATTTAACTTTATTTTATGTGCATTGGTGAGAGTGTCAGATTCCCTAGAATTGGAGTTACAGACAGTTGTGAGCTGCCATGTGGGCTCTGGGAATTGAACCCGGGTCCTCTGGAAGAGCAGCTAGTGCTCTTAATTGCTGAGCCATCTCTCCAGCCCATATTATATAATCTTAATGCTTAAGAATTAACATATATATAAATCACTACTCACTCATCATTCCAGTCATTCAGCATATATTAAGTATTCACCACATGTTAGGCTGTGGCCTCAATGAAAAAGACAAGTTGACCCTGCCTCCTGAGAGCTTTCTATCTGCTTGGGAGAAAAATAATACAGGTACATATACAAGGAACATTAAGTTAGACTTGGGGTTTTCTAAATAGAAAAAATATGGAAGAATTATCAAAGAGGAATGTAGAAGAGAAGGATCTGTCAGGTACAATGCAGGATGCCTTTGGAAGTTTGGAGACAAATACCCAAACATGAAGATGAAAAACTCTTCTCAGACTGAGGCATGAGAAATTGACCCTGCATAGACATTGTGTGAGGTAATTACCGAGCACATTCTAGCACATCAGTTCTCAACCAGAGTGTATATATGTGTGTGTGTGTGTGTGTGTGTCTAGAACCCTTCACAGGGTCACATATCAGATATCCTGTGTATCATTTATTTACATTATGATTCATAGCAAAATTAGTTATGAAGTAGCAACAAAAGTAATGTTATGGTTGGGGGTCAGCACAACATGAGGAACTGTATTAGAGGGTCGCAGCGTTAGGTTGAGAACCACTGCTCCAACAGAACTAAAATGAACCCAAGATGAAGGGATGGAAAATATCAGAGACTGGGGAACTGTATGTCTTACACCACACCCTGTCACTCCACACTGCCTCTCCACTTCCCCACTCCATTAGGGAGCATGATTCTCCGTCCTATTTCCTGACCCACACATAAGCTAGTGAGCCAGCTCCAGCGAAAGCTGTGCCTGGTTTTTTCCCCTATTGCTGCTGCTACTTCTTTTTTTTTTTTTTTCTTTTTTAAAGATAGGGTCTCCGTCTTAGTGAAGCGACTCCATGATCATGACAACTCTTATAAAGGAAAACATTTAATTGGGATGGCTTACAGTTTCAGAGGTTTAGTCCATTATCATCACGGCAGGATATGGCGGTGTGCAGGCAGACATGGTACTGGAGAAGGAGCTGCGAGTTCTACATCTTGATCCGCAGGCAACAAAAAGTGAACTATGTCACTGGGTGTAGCTTGAGCAAAGGAAACCTCAAAGCCCACCCCCATAGTGACACACTTTCCTCCAACAAGGCCACACCTACTCCAACAAAGACACACCTCCTAATAATAGCACCACTCTCTCTGAGCTTATGGGGGCAAATTACATTCAAACTACCAATCTCACTCTGTAGACCAGGCTGGCCCAATCTATCTGCTTCTGCCTCTGTAGTACTGGGAATAAGGTGTGGCACCATGCCCAGCTGCTACCTCTTTATCTCCTCGGTTGGATCATCTTTGCAACTCTTAACAAAGCCAGTCCTCACCTTTCTTTCTCTGTGATGTCTTTCAATCTCCTGGCTTCTAATATCACCTGTATATAGCTGATTTGAACATCCTAGTCTCCAACTTCCTGCCCTTAACAACCGAACAGTCAACGCTCATTAAGGTTTTTCCTTAACTGTCTTCTTTCTGTTATCTACACTATCCTCATTATCCCACAAATACTTAACTCCTCCCTCAGTTTTCATTTACTCCATGGATTTCATTATCATCTAAAATACCATGTACCTGTTGTCCACCTCAATAATATACAATTCATGAACATTTGTATTTTTCTGCATTTTATTCATTTATTATTATTTATTATTATTCTATCACCATGGCCTAGAATGATGTGTCTTATGTAGCAGGAACTCAAAAAAATTGTTTTAAATGTATGAGTATTCCCATCATAAGCAAACAGTCAGAAACCTGAAGATTGACTCACTTTCCAGATCGTGTGTACACACACGCACACACACTCACACACACACTCATCAGGCTGGAGAAATGGCTTAGTAGTTAAGAGCACTAGCTGCTCTTCCAGAGGACCTATGTGGTGGTTAACAAATATCAATAACTCCTGTTTCATGGGATCCAATGCTCTCTTCTCGCCTCCAAGAGCAAGGCACACATGTGGTGCAGAGACATACATGCAGGCAAAACATCCATACACATAAAATAAATTAAAACAAAGTTTCGATGCACTGAAAAAAATCTACAGGCAAAAATCAAAAGATACACTGAGAGAAAAATACAGAAATCTACAATCTTGAAAAAGACCTAAAGCCAAAGTAAAAAGCAGGCATATGAATAGACAGCTTACTTCCATTCCTCAACTATCTTTTGGCAAATCCAAGTGTCTCTCTCATATTTCAGCCAAAGTTTAGTACACGGGTATTTTGTCTAATGTATTTTCAAACTATTAGCTATTTTTTAAAACTTGCTCAATTCGCAAACATGTTAAAATTATCAGTTCGTTTCTGTTGTTCTTAAACGTTACCACCTGCAAGTAATCAGAGTCCACGTCTCTGCAGTATCTATAGGACTTAATTTACAGGAGTAATTCTGCTTTAGCAGCTGAGTGATGAAATCATATGTGCTGAAGTCTCACTACCCGGGCACCTCTAGATCTGCCACTCCCACTGGACAATCTTGGACAGGCGACTTACATTCTCTATGCCTCAATATTCTCATCTGTAAAACAAGAACATCACTTTCTCCTTACGGCTGATGTGCGGGCTAAATTTCACACGGAGCACACAGTAAAGCTCTGATCACCCTAATTGGTAGTCCAATTAGGATAATAGTTTCCACTAAGGTATTTGAAACAGAGCTGTGAACATACATTCTCTTCCCCCTTGAGACAGGGTTTCACTGTGTAGCCGAGGCTGGCTTGGAACTTGCAATGTAGACCAGACTGGTCTCAGACTCACAAGATCCACCTGCCTCAGCCTCTCAAGTGCTGGGATTAAAGGTATGCCACCAGGCCCGGCCCAGCTGGACATATATCTGTAATGAGGATGGAAAAAACCTTCGTGAAGGATGTGTCTAGGTTTCCACTGAGGCAAGATGGGAACATAGAGGTCAAGGGTTTAGGAGAAGATGGGTTGTGGGGGCACTTTCAACTCAAAAGACGAAAAAGTGAATGGGTAACTGTACAGAAATTCTGCACTCTGCACAAGATTAACAACATGCGTTTCCAATTTAACAGAAATACTAAGCCGAAATGCTGTTTGCTGCTTTATTCTGGGATTTGGGGTTCAGGATCACTGGCAGGGCAGTGTTTCTGTATCCTTCAAACTCTCAAGAACCAGGAGTCAGGGCAAAGCCGCCTGAGCTGAGGGAGTGACAGGAAACAGGTTAAGCGCACGTGCGAGGGGAGTAGCCGGCCCCCGGGGGGGCAGATTTGCAGAGGCCGGAGCCTCCTCCCGCCGCCTGGCCACTGCCCTCGCCCCCGGTCCCCACTCCGACTTCCATCCCACTTCCCCTCGTGACCTCTCCGCTCCGGCCTCGGCCCACGCGCTCGCCCAGGCTCGGGGGCGGGGCCCGGGCGCTGCCCCTGCAAAGGACGAAAACATGTGGATCACCTTTTTTCAGAGTCGGCGGCCGGTTTTTTGCCGAGGGCCGGATTGGGGGGTTTTGAGAAAAGATTTTCAAAATCCATAACTCAGACGGAAACCGTCCCTCTCCACGTCGAGCAGCGACTGAGCAACCACCAGAGCCGGAGCCCAGGAACCTAGAGTCGTGCCAAGGGCCCCAGGCTCCGCCCCGCGCACGCGCACGCGCTACTCCGCGCAATCCCCGGCCACCAGCTCCCACCCGTACTACGCATGCACGGTCCTCACTAGGGCGCTTTCAGTGCGCACGCGCAGCTCTCTGGTGGCCTTGTCGGTTTGCATACCTCTTAGTGCAGCAATCTAGTAGCATTTAAAAAAATAATCTTCTGGATTCTTTTTAAAAAAAAGAGGTACTATTTTTATGTGTATGTGTACATGAATGCAGGTGCCCGTGGAGGCCAGTGATTATGACATTATTGTGACCCACCTGACCTGAGTGCTGGGAACCGAATGTAGATCCTCAGCAAGAGCAGTTCAGTTCTCTTAACTCCTGAGCCATCTATCTCTCCAGTCCTTTTTTTATTTATCTTTCAGGTGGTGAAAACCCCCTGGCTGCAATCACAGTGTTTCTTGTAGGTACTTTTCAAATGCACATTTAGCAGGTAAATAAAATTAAATGCACGCAAAGGAACTTACACAGTTACTTTACAATAGTAAACACATAAATGTGTTTCAATCAGGCAATTTCATTAGAAAGTACTAAGTGTTAAGACTATTCGGAAGAGGGAGGGGCCCCAAGCTGGTTGGGAAAGCTTGAAAGAGGGTGAGCTCAGTCTCGAGATAAGGGATGAAGCTGGAGTTAAATTGGTTCCCCAAGGAGAACTGTAAAGGTCGGAAAATAGATCATGTTTGGAAAACAGGAAATTAATGGAAGTAAATAGAAAGAAAAACTCAAACTATGTTCTGGGCTAGGACAGAAAACCTGACTCAGCTGTAACTGAAGGGATTATTTGATTCCTAGCATGAATTGTGTGTGGGCCACTCCACAGACAAATGAAGAAAATGAATTTAGGTCAGACCTCTTCCAGAGGACAATTCTGCCTCCCCTTTTTTTGCACTTGAATGGTTACTAAAAATTATGAGAGAAAATTAAGGAAGTAAAAACTAATAATACCCCTTCTTTAGAGGAAAATACTAACTCATACAATCATTATTTCTATACATACTTTTTCATGTATAAAAAATGTCCAGAATTTAGGCTGGTAAGAAGGCTCAGTGAGTAAAGGCACTTACTGCCAAGCCTACCTGATGGCCTGAGTTTGATCTCTGGAACCCACAAGATTGAAAGACAGAACCAACTCCTAAAAAGTTGTCATCTCACCACCACACACTTGCCATAAATAAAATCAATGTGATTTTAAAAAATGAAATGCCCTGGTCTTAGTGAGTTTCAGGACAGCCAGGGTTATGTAGAGAGACCTTGTTTCAAAAAACTTTTAAGAATGAAAGATAATCAGACACAAAGGAAGTCAAATGGGGGAGGGCATAAAAATTGACATGCAAAAGCATCAGATGTTAGTGTTCTCAAATAAAGATTATAAAAGTTTACATATGTATGCAGTAGATTGATCCCATTGGCTCCGTGGTTAAGATCACTGGCTGCTCTCCCAGAGGACCTAGGTTCAATTCCCAGTACCACATGGCAGTTTACAAGCTTCTGTACTCTTGAGTTCTGAGGGATCTGATGCCCTTTTCTGACTTTCGAGGGCACTGGGTTTGCATACATTCAGTGGTGCGCAGAACATACATTCAAGCAAAAATCCATACACATAAATATATCTAAAAGAGAGAGAGAGAGAGCATTGAAGGTCAGCTGACTCTAGAAAGTTTGAGGCCAGTCTGAGCTACATGAGACCCTGTCTCAAACCTTCACACACACCCAAATAAACCAGTATGCTAAATAAAATAAACAAATCTCAAGGGGACAAATATCTAGATTGAGTACTTATAGAATATTCTACTTTATAGTAAAATGGGGACACTAGATGCTGAAGAGTAGTTACAGTTTCTGTTTAAGGTGATGGAAAAGTCTGGAAACAGGCAATGGTGATTGGTGCTCAATAGTGAGTGAGACCAATAGCTCTGCATTATGTGCTTCAAAATGGATGGAAGGGCAAGTTTTATGACATTTTACAAGATGAGAGGAAGTATCTGGCATGATGAGTGGGGTGTAACGACCCCTTGAAGACTTTGTTCTAGCATTTGCTAGGTACACTGTCTTGAGGGTGTATGTAATCAACAAAGGCTGCTGCATTCCTCACCATCCTGGGAATCCAGGGTACAAACGGGGGTTGATGCTCTGCATGGCTCCTTGTAATCCCTCAGGAAACAGTTTACTTTCCTTCCCATAGCTGCAGATTTTAAAGCGGTCTTTCAACCTCAGCACAACTGTCATTTGGGGGGTTGGACATTATTCGCTATGGAGGACAGTTGTGCATTGAAGGAGAGTAAGCTGTTTCTACCACTAGAGGTCAGTAGTACTTGTTCCTGACATCAAAAATGACAGGCTGATGAGAGAAGATTGAGGAAAAGCCTAACACTTTGCTAGAATTAATGAAACATACCCATTTACAGGTCTAGACATTAAACAAATACCAACATAAAAGGTGTATCAAGCAGAAATTTCTCCGTGACAAATATGGAGAGGGGTCGGAGGAGAGTCATCCCTAGTCCAAAGGCACTGGTTCTAGACTGATCAATTCCCAAAGCAGGAAGGTATGACAGTTTCCCACAGCTTCAGGTTGAGACTACCATTTGTCCACGTCGGGCTCATCAGGCCCATTAATCAATAGGGAGAAAGGAACGACTCACATTGGTGCGATGATGTATACTTGCTCAGTCATCCCAGCCACACCATGAGGTCAAGAAAGGACAATTTCTTTCTTAGGCAAGGTAGGGGATAAACCACCTTGTGTTCTACGACTAAACAGAAATGACCACTACCACAAGCAACAATACTTGTGCTCCAAGGGGCTACCTACCAGCCAAGGAAACAAGACCCACTCAGGGTAATGGGAACATGACAAAGGGTATCAACTACAAGCCCATTAATTTCATTTTAACAAAAAGCAATTAACTTTCCTTCAGAACTAAGTGCACACTACTCATAATTTCAAGATTATTTCTGAAGGCCACGTATGTATGAAAAGTTGCACTGTCTTGTTCTTGCTTTATGAAATATTCGTATGTATTCCATATATAAAACACTAAGATCACATTTCCATGACCTCAACAGCTATTTTTAATTCTGTCAAGTAATGATTGAGTGAATTTAGTATCATCAGAAAAAGTTGCATGCCAACTAATCGTCTTTACAATGCCAATGCGCGCTAAACATTACGGAGATAACAGCAGCAACTTTGAGGGCCTAAGGATGATTCCAAGTTATTTGGGCAACAAAGGTTTTCTTTTCACAAAGATCACTGACAGTTCCTTTTTTATCTCGCGCAGCTAACGGCTGCGGAGGAGAGGGGATTGTGTGAGGCGTCCGGAACCCCGAAGCCCTTGAACGCGGCGAGTCTCGCAGGAACACCGAGAAACGGGCCACAGAAGACCTGGTGAACACAGCAAGCACTGCGGGGTAGCCTGCCCCTCCCGATGTGACTCCAGGCGCCACCACCCTGCCCAGCCATCCAGCTTGCTGCCTCCGCGGCTGCGGCAAGGATCTTAAAGGCCCGCCCCTGGAGGTGATTGACGGACAGTTCCCACCAATGGCCGATGCGCTCAGCCCCGGCGGGCAGGGAGAGGGCTGCGGCTGGCGGAGGAATCTCACTTGCCCTTTAGTCCCGGGCAAGGTGTTGCGGCCGGCGCCATTTTCTGGGCCGCCTTGTCTCGGGTGCCGCCATGTTGGTGAGGAGAAATCACCGTTACGGCCACTGTCCAAATCCCCGCGTCGCTGCACGCCACCCGCCGGCTCCCACGCCTCAGCCTCCGGCGGCGAATACAGACTAGAGAGCGGCAGCGCCGGCAGCGCGGGGCCGTTGCCCAGTCTTTGCAGTTAGAGCCCCATCTCTCTGGCGTGGTTGTTAATAGACTGGAAAGTCTGTGTCTGTGTCGCTCACTAGTAACCGTGAGTTTTTACCACTTCCGTCACCTGTCGGCGGCGGCCGGGAACAGGTGCCCGCAGGCGGCGCAGGGGGCCTCCCCGCGCCCCGCCGCCGCCGCCGCCGCCGCCGCCGGCGGCCTCCAGACCTGCCCTCCAGCCCCGCCCCGTTCTTGACCAAACATGACAGACTCTGAACATGCAGGGCACGACAGGTCGGGAACCCTTCTTGTCTGTCTTTCTGTCGGATGAGAGGAGGGGTCGGGGCGGCGGGAGCGGGCCGGGGCCGGGCGCCTCCTGCATGACTTAGACGTCTCTGTGTGGCTCCCTCGGTTCCGTGACGCGCAACCTTCGTCCACCGCAGCTGGCTGCCGGCCGCCGCGGGGGAGGCCGACCCGGCCGCGCCCGCCTCCCGGAGCCGGGGTCGCCGCTCGCCGCCCCGCCCCCGCCGGGCACGTGCGAGCCCCCCGCCCCCGGCCCGGCTCCGGCTCCGGCTCCGGCTCCGGCGGCGGCGGCGGCGGCGGCGGCGCCGCGCGGGCGGCCGCGGCGTCTGCCCGCCGGGCCAGTAACCGGCCTCGGCAGCCCCGTCGGGGGGGACCGGCCCCGAAGGCTCAAGTAGTAGGCCTTTTGGATGTTTGCCTCCTACCCGAGTCCACCTCTGAAAAGACACATATTTAGTTTTTAGGAGGAAAAAAAAAAAAAAAAAAAATCAGCCTCTTCCCTTCCCATCCCCCACCCCCAGGCCATGTGTCTGCTGCAGTCGTCTACCCCCCCCCCCCCCCCGAGGAATGTGAAATGGCAATTTTCAAATAGAATATGTTAACACAGACTACAGATTTTAACTTAACCTGGCTTCCTAGGTGCTAAATACCATTGGATCATTTAGCTGAGAGTTTCTATTTTTATAAACTTTGCTGTGCTCCGAGAGGCAGGATCTTGGTGCCATGCAATGATTTGGTGGCATTTATGGAGTATACTCTAGCAGACCTAAATTTTAGTTAGACTTCAGATTTACACTCATAGCCAAATCATTTTTAAAGGGGGGCAGAGGAAGGCTTTTATTAAAATTCCTGGTGCAAATCTTATGCATCTGATTCCTACTTAGAATATTATCTTG